CCAATATCTTCAATTGATCTTAAACATGGTTGAGCAGCTCTTTCTCTCAAATGGTTCTCTTTTAAATCATAAAGTATCAACTGTAGCTAGCTAGCTGCAAAAACTTTTTGCCCAAGCTGGACTAAAGTAGGGTATGAGATCTCTAGCTAGAACATCACAAGCATTAGACGAGTTTCAAGGAACGGTATAAACATTGAATTGCGTCCGATTGAACCTGAATTGGCTACCGATTAGTGTACTATGGTTTGTCGACACAATCATTCAAACCAAACAAATAATTATAGTGAATACATTGTGCTAAAAGAATATTTGATAAAACCTTGTTCAAAACTGATTTTTTTTAGGCTAATTAGCACAAAACGTCCCTACCTTTGGGGTGAATTTCGGAAACCGCCCCTACCTTTCATTTCTTGGCATTTATGCCCTTACCTTTGGGGTTTTGGTGCGCTGAACATTCTTTTCACTGTTTTTTGACGATTTTACCCTCCATTCAATTTAGACACAAGGAAAAGAAAAGAAAAACAATCCAATAAATTGCAACGATAGGCCCAAACTTTTTAAAAAATGCAAATAACCCACCAAACTTCACATTCTTCCCACAACTCACCCCCAGCATGTTCGTGCACATTTAGTCGTCGTCAAATGAAACCCGCATGCCACCAGTTTCCTACCATTGATAAATCTATCCAAAACTTCTCCGTCATTACCTTTACTACAGGAATCCAATTATCACAGTTTTAATTTTAAATTAACTCCCTTTTTTACCATCCAATTATCATAGAATTTGACTTTAAATCTGATCTTTAGACTCTAATACAAAAGCTGCTCCGGCGTCTTCGTCTAGGCGATTATTTAGTGACAATCCATTTGATTTTGGTGCAGCCTCCGCCATTGATAAATTCAGCACATCTAAATATATTATTGTGTACATAAAGCGACGAAAATTGATGAATAAGGCAAATAGAAAAAACAGGATTTGTTGTAGACGACGGAAATTAAGCTATGTTTGTGCACATTTCGCCCAAATTGGTGATGACTCATGGGTGGAATAGCTGTGCCATGAAGAGAGGATGCTAGCCCATGTGGTCCGAGATCATGGGAACCACCACCATCGCAGGAATTTGGGTTTTTCGGCCGTGAACACCTTGTTTCGAAAAACAACTGCAGATTTTGAATTTCTTTGTTATTTGATGTAATTGGAACATGAATGGATGCGTCTAGGTGAGCTTGAGGGACCTGTGGAGTGTAATTAACATAGGCATCCATGGATTGGGTCGAAATTGGAAGAAAACCGTGAGTGAATGTNGAAAAACAACTGCAGATTTTGAATTTCTTTGTTATTTGATGTAATTGGAACATGAATGGATGCGTCTATGAGAGTTTGAGGGACCTGTGGAGTGTAATTAACATGGGCATCCATGGATTGGGTCGAAATTGGAAGAAAACAATGCGTGAATGCTATTTTTTGGCCGAATTTTGGTTCAAGTTTGAATTTTTTGGAGTGGGAATTTGTGTAGGTATGTTGGGGGTTGATGAGGAGACGGTGTTGGTGCAAAAATCAGATGGCCATGGTGGCCTGAAAATGACCGGTAGGCAACGGTGGGGTGGGCGTGAGTTTTAGGAAGAAGGTGAAGTTTGGTGAGTTATTTACAATTTTTAAAAAGTTTGAGCTTATCGTTGCAATTTGTTGGATTGTTTTGTTTTTCTTTTCTTTTTGTTTTATTTGAATGAGGGGTAAAATCGTTAAAAACACATGAAAAGGACGTTCAGCGCACAAAATGTTGAAAGTAGGGGCATAAATGCCACAAAATGAAAGGTATGGACGGTTTCCAAAATCAACCCTAAAGATAGGGATGTTTTGTGCTAATTAGCCTTTTTACATAATTGTGTTCCAAAGACCTGAATTAGCCCACGGTAGTGAAACGCTTTAGGATTATCCAAGAACTGAACAAGAGATATTTTGCATCAAATGCATTATTTATTAATGATAGCTCTTTTATTCAAGATAGGATGTGATTCGTTAACTCCGATGTCCCACATTCTTGCCTCGAATGCTAGTATTTTGTCAATGACTCGTTAGAACGACTGTATCCCACTTTTCATTTCATCCCGAGTCCACGATGATTTAGTCGAGTGAAATTCTTTTCTTTTGTTCATATGTAAATGGAGAGTAGCTAAAACATCAAATGAGATTGGACACGACAAAATGTGTACATGAAAGTATTCTAACCTGTTGCAACTACACAGGCTATCTATCTATGGCTAACAAAATGCTGAACGCTTGTTCATATAATGAAGTGATTGAATGAGTAATAAAAAAATTCAAGACCAATTTCACTACCATAATTCCGCGACTGACATTTCCTGACCCCAAAATTCCAATCTTCAACAAAAGTGAGCCCAAGCTATTATAATTTGTGGGTCTATAGTTTGTGAACAACAATTCAATGCTGGACTACATGTTAAAGATTAGAACAACAATTAAATACCATTACTTACAACACTTACCTGTAACGTCTCATAATTTACTCGTAAATCTTCCTGCATTTCAATATTTGATCGAAAAGTGAGGGACAATCCATTTTGAAATTAATGAACATTGCATTGTTGAAGTAGAGGATGATTATAATCGACATATTTATCCCAAAGGTGCTTGTACTTTTCCATCCCGATCTTCAGCCATGGTTTCGAATTTCCATTAAAATGTAGTACGGCCCCCTTCTCTATCACCTGAGGATCAACATTTGTGTACCCTAAGCCTAACACGTGCCATGTGGGATTCAATGGTTCTGTCAATCCGTAGAAAGTCAGTAATCCCGGTGGGAGGGTGCCAAGTTTCCACAATGTCCGGTCTACATTCTTTTCCTGCCAGTAGTGGTAGATGCCTGTAACATTCCTTTTCCTCCACTCGACCAAATCAAAAACGTTCATTCCAAATGCCCACCCACATGCATCAGGATCGAAATGTTCACGAATAAGAGGGTGCGAGTAATTCAAGTACTTGTGATATCTGTGAAACGTCTCCATGCATGTCTCAACAGCACCATTTACGTTTCCATTTAGATCTATAGAGAATAGGCCCGACAGATCTTTCTGAACTATAACATCATCATCAAGAAATACCACCTTCTTCAATTCAGGAAATACTTCTGGAATATAGAACCTTAGGTGGTTAAGCATGGATAGATATTTAGGATTCCTGAATTTAATTGGCGTCCGGCTGTCACCAGTGCTACCAGAAAAATAGTAATTCTGGGTGTCGGAGTCTTGAAGCTGTTTAAGAACAGGTACATAAGAAGCATTCAACCAGGTAAAATCTTCAATCTTTTGAACATCAACAGTCACTCCCTTAAAACTGTTCATGGTGAACCAGGCCTTCATTGCAGCATAATTCACCTCGTCGGTCACGAGGTGGAAAACTACCTTATCAGGATTTTGGGAACTCAAAGCTGTTGAATTTACCACAACTGAAGTTGCAAGAATGTTGTCAGAAAAGACACAAAAGTGACAGAGATTGTTATCTTTGAGTTTTATAGCTGTTTCCCCTTTCTCTTTGAGTTTTCTTTGTAAATTTGAGTTCTTGTACCATTCAGTTGATAACCGAATCCCAAGACAATACAAACTCTTCGGGATTTCTTCAGCAGCTATTTGTCCATACTTTGAACTTTTCTCATTAACGGAATTCATCTGTTCTTCGAGACCCTGGATCTTCGCCTTCAGTCTCATGATCATGGTTGCACTGTCATAGTGAAGTTGCTGGGCTTGGAAGAGTAAAAGTGCCATATCACGAATTGCACTTTCTGATTCACTAATAGTCAAAGGATTTCTTCTTAAAGCAGCATTGGAGAGAAGGATTTGTGAGTTACGGATTTGGGCACTAAGCTCCCATGCGAATTGGAGGTTGTTGCTTTCTTTTGCAATGGCAAGAAATGCCTTTGCTAGAGAAATTTGATCATTAAGTTGCCTAGTAACAGAGTTAGGACTTAACATTTCTTCAGTGATATTAAGGCCTTCTAAGACTCTGTCACGTCTATAAGATCTCTGCAGAACATATAAACAGCCATATAAGTCCTCCATTCACACTATTAAGGTTAGAAAGACGTGCCAAGAAAATTGAGCACTTCATCAATCAACTGTATAAAGCAATAAATGGTAGTCTTGAAGTTCCAGAAGAATATTTTGTCTAACTGAAGACTGTAGATTACTGTGATTTAAGACCTAGCTCATATCCAAGATTAGTGCACATGTGAAGTTACGTTTAGTATATACATTCATATTCAAACTCCTTTTCCTACTAAAAACTTTTAACAACAGAACGAAATTTTACTCCCTGCATCTCTAATTGAATGGCCTATTTCACCTTTTTGCTCAAGCAATCTTTTACAAGAAATAATTCATATTTACTTCACAAGGACTCCATTTTTTACATAATATACCTTAATCCAAATACCACACCAATTTAAAATATAGCTCCTAAAATTGCCTGGTCGAATGGAAAAAGTCAACATGTCATTAAGTTGAAATGGAGATAATTCTCTTCATACTTTTTGCCTCATCCTTCGTTCTCCAAGAGTGCATATTCTATCACCTCAAATCTGGCAAGATCAGACAGACAAGTTTATATGAAGATCTATATTTGGTCCAAGGTAAAAATACGAATTTTATTCACTTAGGCAAAAATAGTGATTTCTTTATTACATCAACATTACGTTTTCTTTACTTATTTAAGTAGTTCCTATTCCTTTTTAAAATTATCCTCATTTTTAAATGTACTTAAAATAATAAAAAAANAAAAGAGCTCAAATGATTGAGATAAATTTTGCCCCATAGAATTTAACAATCTTGAGCTAATAGAAACTATCCAGATAGCCAAAGACGAGCTACATTGTTGAATGCTATCTACAAACATAGCAGTCGTCAATGTTATTATTATTACCCTGATCCGAAAATGCATAATAATCATTTAAAACATGTTATCTATACCCAAAACAAGAATCAGCACTTTTGTATCTCTTCAAGTTACAGTCTTAATTAACCAATCTATAATTCTTCATGGGTATTGGGTCTCCAACCTTTCATAAGCATTGGTAGCCATGTCCATAACCTTCCATTTGGGGCATTATGTCCCCAAATTTTTAAAATTATGCACCTGGTACTACACGCGACGGGAAAACATTTATTTAGACATAAAATGGTCATGCAACACATGTGATGTCTGGCTGAATTGAAAAGGGTAAAATTGTTCCAAAAAGAGCAACATTTAATGTAATTTGAACAGTCACGGTTTGGTTTATGTAATAACGTACATTTTTAAGCTTTTAGTCACACATAATGTGCGACTGCGTGGAAATTTGACGTCTAAATAGACATTTTCCATTAGCAGGGATACCAATTGCATATGTTAAAAAGGTTGGGGACATGACTGCAAACTTATGAAAGGTTGGGATCCCTAGAGGAATCAACCCTTTCTTTATTTATTAATCAAAGAGTACTATTATAGAAAACATTGATTACAAATGGGTTGCTATGTACCATAATAAGCTTATAAAAATTAATTAAACATCATAGAAGATGTAAAATTACTTCCTACACATTTTCTATCCATACAGACCATCTTCTTCAGATTTATAAGTGCAGGCCTTAATCCCTCCACATCCAATAACCAAGGATACAATACATCTGATGCTACTTCCTCAGGAATAAGGTTTAGTTAGTGGTGTTGTCATATGCTACTTGAGCAGGCATAGTTTTCTTTCTATGGATATGTGTGTCACTTTCGACATGTTCTAACTGTAGCATAAGTTCGAGATTTAATCTTAAAATAATTTGGGGCTTTCTAGCACTTATTGATGAATGAATAATATGTTGGCAAGCTACCTAGACTCGAGAGTCGAGAATGATCAGCAATATACTACTATAGATGGAGAGATTAGAAGAACCAAAGAAAACATTTCATATCAATATGGGTCATCTTCAAAAATGGTATAAAATAATTGGACCATAATAGCAAACCTAATCAGAATTTGCACTACTTACAGATTAGACCTTCATTAATAACTTCACCAGAAAACCATAATATCTCAATGCCAAAGAAATCAACATAAGGATGGATTAATAAAATTCCTCAAACGAATTTACAGCTTTTATACCTATCAAGACAGCTTAGGGGCCTCATCTATATTCTACGACAAAATATATCAGAACTAGTGAACAACAGTGTTTTCTTCACCAAACTAAATTTTAGATACTTCCAATCCGAACTCAACACTCCTGTTTCCAAATGCTCAAACACACAGTTATTAGAAGAGGTGAGACCATTGACCTGTTAATGTATAAGGTATATACACATAAACACCTTCAACCATCAGTTTTGGTAGGTAGCTATCTATATTGCACAAACATGGATACGCGGTAAGGACACGACATGGACACACCGACACGTGATTTTTTGAAAAACTTAGACACGGACAGTTTGGAACACATCCAATTAAATTCTTTAACATTTAAAATTCATAATTATATCTTAATCTTTATAATTTTTAATATAGGACACGGCACATGACTTGCCGGACACTTGTCCGAAGGGTGTCTCTAAAGTATCCATATAATGTCTGCAATTTAAAAATATATACGACGCGAATATGCTACCAAGTGTCGGTCCATCATAGGTAATCCACATAGATTGGATATTAGTTTTAACTGAATCACTGGTAATTTCATTGCCAACTTGTTCTTATAACACCTATTGACTAGTATTATAGCATATCAAGGGTAAAGTCCACGAGTTTGTTCAATTTTACAATTGAACAATGGAGATCCTGAACTACCCAAACACCTCTAGTGATTAAGACAATATAACAGAAGCATAACCAACTGAAATTACAAAACCAAGGTGTAATTATCCTTACACTTCCACTCAATCCACTCATTTCTTCAATATTTATACAGATTTCCAACTCCAAAATAGCTCATTTCTATCAAAATTGTAACCCATAAAGCACAACCAATTACACAACAATCAGAATCAAATCAAACCCAAGTAACCCAAAATGGAAATCCAAACTGGAACCAGAAATTCAATATGTTCCCATTAACGCCAGTGCTTTAGTTCAAGCAGAAAAGGACAAAAGAACAGACATATATGATTTGAGATCGATAATTACCTTAACAAGAGCCGATCTCGATGTGGGTTGTTGTTGCTCTCGGCTTAACAAAACAATGAAGAGCAAAATAGTAAACCCACAAAGCGATAACCAAAATACATTCGAAACTCGCCGCCTCACTGGTCGCCGAAAATCTGAGCCTCGGCGCCTCATTTATTTCTTTATTGAAGAAATAATTATACCCAGATAACAAAAATTGAGACTAAGAACTGAAAAATTGAAATGGGAGAATTCGAGGTGGGTTTTTGGAAAGAGGGAAACGCTGCAAATGTTACAGCGGAGTAATTGAGATGGAAAGAGATCTATTATTGATGCAGGCTTAGCTTAGAAGCTTGAACACGGAAAAAATGAGTAAACTTTTCGTGCAATAACGGTATTTTTAGTTGTATCCGATTATTGCACTTTTCGCCCAGTTTATTTAAGTTGTAAAACTATAAAATAAATATTTATGATTGTCCAATTTTATTATCATATATAAATAAATTTTTATCTAATTTAGAAAGTCTATTTCATATAATGTCATTCTCACTTTGAATTCTACAAAACAAGCATGCTACAAGTACAATTTTTTTGACATCAAATTTGACAATGTGCCACATGTTGAAGGTTGAGTGGTCAGTTTTTAAACACCACACACTTTCCCGCCCATTC